CAGGATTCGGCGACTGTCAGAAATGCATGCTGGGCTTCCAAAGCGCCTGAATTTTGATCATGGGAATGTGAGGAACGCTGCAAGGGTTGCAAGTGTGAGGACTGGTCATAAATCAGTTGAGGATTCCATCTTATATCTTGATATAGTGCAACAGTATTTTATGTAGACTCTCCTTTGGAATAACAGAATAGCAGATGGAATAACGAATAAAACAGAGTTGGAAGAGACCTTAATCTTCTAGTCCAACCCTCCCTTCCCCCCGCAAGCTGGAAATCCTATACCATTTCAGACAGAGGGTTGTCCAATCTCTTAAAATCCTCTGGTATAGGAGCAACCCCAACTTCTAGAGCAAGGCTCTTCAAATTTGGCAAGTTTGAGACTTGTGGTCTTCAACTCCCAGAATTCCTGAGCTAAAATGGCTGGAGGAGGAATTCTGGGAGCTGAAGTCGACAAGTCTTAAAGCTGTCAAGTTTGAAGACCCCTGTTCTAGAGGCAAGTCATTCCACCAATAGATTGTTCTAACTGGCAGAAAATTTCTTCTTAATTCCATGTTGCTTCTCTCCTTGATTAGTTTCCATCCATGGCTTTTTCTGCCTTCAGGTGCTTTGGAAAATAGGTTGAAACCTCCCCCCTCTTCTTTGTAGCAGCCCCTTAAAATAGTGGCACACTGCTATTATGTCATCCCTAGTCCTTCTTTTCATCAGATAACAGGTAATCAGAGTTGGAAGGGACCTTGTAGGTCATCTAGTCCAACCCCCCGCCCCAGTCCAAGCAGCATTTCTGACAAATGGCAATCCAATCTCTTCTTGAAAATCTCAAGTGTTGAAGCTCCCACAACTTCCGAGGGCAACTTCTGTTCCATTGGTTGATTGTTTTCACTGTCAATAAGTTTCTCCTTATTTCCAGGTTAAATCTCTCCTTGATCAGTTTCCATCCATTATTCCTTGTCTGGCCTACAGGCACTTTAGAAAATAACTTGACCCCTTCCTCCTCTCTGTGGCAGCCCCTCAAATATTGGAAGACCGCTATTATGTCTCCCCTGGTCCTTCTCTTTACTAGACTAACCAAGCCCAGTTCCTGCAACCGTTCATTGTATGTTTTAGCCTCCAGTCCCCTAATCATGCTAGTCATCAGACTAGACATACCAATTCCTGCAACAGTTCTTTACATATTTTAGCCTCCAGTCTCCTAATCATCTTGGTTGCTGTTCTCTGCACTCTTTCTAGAGTCTCGATATCTTTTTTTATATCATAGTGATGAAAACATTTAATTACTGCTTTCTCCCACTCCCTTTCTGCTGGCATCTAAAAAGACCAAAGAAGTATCTAATTTAGTTGACACCTATGTCCTGTTGTTTATTAGCTCATCTGATTCACACGGCAGAGTGGATTGCTGCGCCTCAGCTGAGGTAAAAAAAAACAGCAGAGCTCACCGGCATTGATACAGAGGTGGTCTCTGCGCTCTGCACATGCATGTGTGAAGTGTGCATTAGGTGTGCCTGCGCAGTTCACCAGTGTTGATACAGAGGGTGGTGTTTGAGCCCCACGCACGCACATGTGAAGCGTGCAATCGGTGTGCATGAAGCGCACAATTGGCACGTGTGCGGCAAAGCCCACCACTGTGCAGAATGCTGATGGATATTTATTGTCCACTAAAAGCTCACAGGATCCCTTTCAACTCTTCCCGAGGCAATGCAAATGCTGCAAGCATTGGGCATCTGACAGTTGATCCTGACAGATGGATTTGGGAGTCCAGAGATGCCCCCATCGAAAGGAGAAGGAAGCAGTCAAGAAGGACAGGAAGGGTCTTTCCATTGGGGCCCCAAATGAGCAAAAACCCTGATTAAAAGACTTTAAGGCTGGAGAAAACAAGCAGGATACAACGAGGTTATTATTCATGAGAAGCTGCCAGAGGGGAGGCCAAAATGAAACAGCTGCTTTTACAGCTTGGTTTGGCAAACTTGTGATTTAATAAATTGCATGTTTCGAGAAATAAAATGACAGCCTTCCTGTCTGGTTCTCCAGAGACGCTTGCCTCTGAGTGGGAAGGCTCTAAAAGAGTTTTGTGTCTCTAAAACTAAGGAAGTAGTCCTCATGAAGCCTTCCTGATCACCTGAACTATCCCAGCCCCCTTCTCTTTTGCAAAGGTTGCCCTATCCCCCTTGCAAAACACAACCACACTACCACAGTGTTCCTCAACGTTTGGAACTTGAAGAAGGGCAGACGGCAACAAGGCCAACAACTTGAGCCCCTACAATACAAGTTTCTCTCAAACAAATGCCCAGAACGTAGCAGAGAATGGAACGGTAGAAAATAGGTGCAGCAATCTTTTTTTGACTCTTGAGAGTTGAAGTCCACCCGTCTTAAAAGTTGCAACCATTGAGAAACGCAGCACTAGCTGATAGGGTGACAAGGAAGAGGATGTGAGAGGCCCCGTCTTATGCAAAATTGGTTTATTTGCAGTGCATCATCTCCTTGGCTGCGTCAAATTGATTTCTGAGGAAAGCAAAGAGGAACTTTAAAAGGCTGGAGCACGGCTCCTCCCCCCCCCTTTAATAAAATGCTAATATGGGTTGAATAAATTTTATGGAAACGACACAAAAGCAGGCTTTTACCATTCCTGCTTCCAAAATACTGTGAAGGCTGGGTGAAGTTTGTTGAGGCAGGTAGTCCTGGACTTAACCACCGTTCGTTGAAGGACCCTTTGAAGTTAAGAGTGACGGGTTCCTGCATGAGCAAGGGGTTGGACTAGAACTGTGATGGCGAACCTATGACATGCGTGCCACAGGTGGCACGCAGAGCCATTTGTGCGGCTCTGTGCTAGCCAAACTTACCTGCACTGCACATGGGTATTTCCGGAAGGCCCATTTTTCAGCCTCCTGAGGCTGCGGAGGCTTCCCTCAAGCCTCCGGGAGGGCGAAAACTGCCTCAAACCGGCTGAAAATCAGCTGGAAGGCACGCGCATGCCCAGTGCAGGTAAGGGGGTGGGGGTGTTGCACGCAGATGCGCAAGGGGGAGCAGGGCCCATTGCATTGTGGGTGCCAGCACGCACGCGTGCTGTTGTATGCGCTGCTGTCAGCACACACCCCACAAAAAGGTTCGCCATCATTGGACTAGAGAACTGCCAAGGTCCCTTCTGACTCTTCTGGGGGGAAAAAAGTGATGTATGCCCATTTTTCGCACTTATGACCATTCCAGTATCCCATGGCCATGTGATCGAAGTTACGACACTTGCCAACTGACTCACTTACGACGGTTGTAGGGTTCCAGGGTCACGCGATCCCTTTTTTTGCGACCTTCTGACAAACAAAGTCAGTAGGGGAAGCCAGGTTCGCTTAACAACCGTGTGACTAATTTAACAACGTACTTAACAATTGTGACTGGAAAGGTTGTAAAATGGGGGTGAAAAAAAAACAACCCACGTAACATACGTGTCTCACTTAGCAGCGGAAATTTTGGGCTCCACTGTGGTCGTAAGTTGAGGACTGACTCTCTTTAAGGTCACGAAAGGGGGAGCCAAACTCACGGCTGTCACTGGATTGTATGTGAATATAGTTTAAAATGCACAGAATGATAAATGTGATAGCGTATTATGGTACAGATAAGAAAACAATAGTTCTAATCAGGATGTACAACAGTGTGTAGTCAAAAGAGATTATATTGTATATGACCAGGAGAATAATATATAACCAGGAGAATAATATATAACCAGAATGTATACTATGATGTAAAAAAAAAAAAAAGGACTTGATTTAACCAGTACACTGAGGTTATAAAATTGGAAGTGGGATGAATAATAATGAAAAATGTTCAAATAAAAATATTTTTTTAAAAAGAACGAAAGAAAGGCCCAGCAGTAGGACGGGAACTTGAGGAAGGAAGTTTAGATATCTCCACCACCTTCCAGCCAACGAAAAAAGGGCCGTAGGGTTTAGCAGGAAGAGAAACGCCATTACATTCTCGTAGGATGGTAGATCCCCTATGCCTCTTGACCACCTGTCAATGGGATGGGATGGGTTAGAATAGAATAAACATAGAATAAACACAGAATAGAATAAGAATAGAGTAAGAATAAGAATAAGAATTAGAATAGAGTAGAATAGAGTAGAATAGAATAGAATAGAATAGAATAGAATAGAGATCTGGAAGGGACCTTGGAGGTCTTCTAGTCCAGCCCCCTGCTCAGGCAGGAGAATCTATACTGTCTCAGACAAGTGACTGTCTAGTCCAGGAGTGTCAAACTGGATTTGTTAAAGGGCCCGATTATGTTGTTCTCTGCGGGCCGGCAGGGTGGGGTGGGGGGGAGATGGGACTAACACCTCCTGCAACACTGCTGGCCGAAACAGGGTGTGGTGGTGGGGGGCCTGCACGAGCCCCCCGTGCCCCGTTTTGGCTGCCAGAGTGCTGCAGGAGGCCGTCCATGCCCAAAATGGGCTGTGGGGGAGGGCTACATGAGCCCCCCCCCCAACGGCACCCTGTTTTGGCTGCCAGAGGCACCGCGGGCCAGAACCTAACTACCCCACAGGACTGGATCCGGCCTGCGGGCCTTGATTTTGACAACCCCCTGGCACGGGAGCTGAAAAAGGTTAGCCACCACTGGTGTGGTCTCTTCTTCTGTCCTTTTGAGTGTCCATAAATTGCCCATTGGATCGTCCCCCCCCCCTCCAGAAAGCTTCGTGCATCTTGAGTTTCAACATGTCGGCCAAATGTCTGTTGCAGTCTTTTTAACAATAGGATGGGAAGACGGGGACTCTCTCTCGGTCCCCACCCTTCTCTCTTCTGCACACTGCCACACTTCTCAACCACTTCCTCAGTGCGGTGACTGCCTTCCTTATGTCTAGGAACCCCTTCTTGAGAGCTCTCTCCGCCGGCGGCTGCAGCTTTCCCCAAAAAGGCCTTGGGTCTTGCATTTGGTTACGCCATTTCCGCCGTCACTCCCTTTCCTGTTAAGTAAGTTCTTGCTTGCTTGCTTCCCTCTCCTTCTCTTGTGTTCTACCGCATTTGGCCGCCTCTCCTCCTCCTCCTCCTCTTCTTCTTCTTTTCTTCCAAACGTATTATGACCAGCTTGAGAAGAGAGCTACAGAGGTCTCAGAGAAGCTTCCAGGATGGCTAGATGGGATGGTCTCGGCCATGGATCAGGTATGGCGGCGGGGGGCGGGGGAGGTCTTCCAACTCGTAATTCTTCCCCTTGGATTTTTGGGAAGGTGCAAGGTCTACATTGGGTTCCCTGCCAAGATGGGGTGAGGGTTTGGAGAAGGGGTGGAATTGAAAGACACCGAGAAAATCAGCCTATATCCAACTGGAATGACCTGCGTTGTGGATGGTGGCTTGCGTTGTGAAGTTGTGAGTGCTTCAATCTCTGGAGGTTTTGCCCAGAATGGTACATATAGGGTCTCCTGCTTGGGCAGGGTGGGTTGGACTAGAAGACCTTCCAAGCCCCTTCCAGTCCTATGATTGTATGTTCCAGTCGGGTGGAGATCGTTCAAGAGAGATCCAACCTAGAATTAAGGAGGAATTTATAGAACACACTATAATGGCTTGCCTCCAGAAGTTGTGGGGGCTCCATCACTGGAGGTTTTCAAGAAAAAGATTGGGCAGCCATTTGTCCAGAATAGTATAGGGTCTCCGGCTTGGGCAGGGGGTTGGACTAGAAGACCTCCAGGGTCCCTTTCAACTCTCAGATTCTGCATTTCATCCTCTCAGTGTTAATATCTCTCTAATCACTGTTGAAGAACAGGTTGGGTGAAATGGACTGTAGCTTTGCAGAATGGACTACTTGTTCCTTTTCATGGGTATACTTACTTATATTTATGATTTTATGCCAGAGGGCGAGTGAAAATTAATACCGCTTTGCGCATAAACCAAATGTTAATAGTGCACCAACAGGCCGCGTGTATTGACTCTTGTTCATATTTCCATGTCTTTCTTGGTGGCTCAACACAGGTTGAAAAAGGAAAAGAACAAATGTGTGATAAAAGGGAGTTTTTAGGAGGTCACAAACTCTTGTTTTGTTTTGCTATTTTTCTGAACTTGTTTGAAAAAGGTTTCCCGCATATATTGCAATTAGATTTCATTTTTGTTGTGCAAATTCAGGCACTTAATTTGTCAGCTTAGCTGAGCCTTGTTTGACAATATCTCTGTATGCATATTGGATTTTTTTTTTATACCGGTAGTCCTCGAGTTACGACAGTTCATTTAGTGACCGCTCAAAGTTCCAAAGGCTATTGCACAAAGTGACTTAATGACTGTTTAACTTACACGTTTAACAACTGCAGGGATTCACATAGCAACTGTGGCAAGAAAGTTCATAAGAGGGGGCAAAAATTCACTTAACAACTGTCTCGCTTAGGGACAGAAACTTCGCCCTCAATTGTGGTCGTAAGTTGAGGACCCTGTGTTTGGGATTTGGATATCAGCAGGTCTTCAAGGCTGCAGTGTATATAATATTATTGTATATTACAATTCAGTAGTCATGTGTCATAATCTTAATTGCAACTGACACCCTGAATTTGGTTCCTCTTCTTCCCCACCCTTGTCCTTGGGGTCGCCGTCATGATTGAGATGCCTTATCTCGGATTTGTCCAGGAGATAAAAATCAGATTTTAAAGTTGTTGCACGCGTGACCGGATTGCAGAACAGAGAATGGGGAAATTGCTTTAAAGTGCAATGTACGTCAGCCATCAAGATATCAGCAAATCTCTTTTTTTATATATATATTCTGGGGAACTTGAAAGGCATGGCTGAGAAACTCATTTTAAACTATAATCTCCATATTAGATATCCTGGCTTGTGATGCTTTCGCTAACTGAGACGGTCTTTGCAGATTTGAATCCTCTCATGCCTTATAGCTAAGCAGCACCTAAAGGCTTGAGATTATGAAACACCCATTTCTTTGAAGTTTTTTTATCTTTTGAACCCGGGTTCAATTATTGCTTTTTCAGCAAAGATTTTTTTCCCCACTGCCGGAAGCTTTTCGATAATGCTAATCAACTCAGTCCTGTTCTATGCAACCGGGAGAGTAGAATAGGGCAAGATTTTTTTTTTTTAAAAAAGCCATTAAATTTTTTAAAAAGCCATTAAATTTTTCAAAAAGTCATTAAAATCAGTTTCTGTATTCCCTCCCGGTAAAAGAAGTATCCAGATGCTTTGATTTGAGATGTTTCTTGCACTTCTCTTGTCTCTTGCAAAGTAGGAGCATCTATTTTGATTTCTTTTGCTTTTTTTTAAGCAAAATTCCCTGGCCAACTTGGGCTTTGGTGAGCTAAGAAGCCCTCCATGCGTTTAGATTAGAAGATCTCAAATGGAATAAAGTTGTCTATTCAGTAAGGAATTGGAGCCTGCTCTTCCTCTTCCTTGAGTGTGTTCACACAATGCCTTTAACAGGACCAATTTAAAACCCTGATTCACAAACCTGCATTGACCTTGGTTTGTTTTTTTGGGATGTGTATGAATTGGAGCCCTTCTGGCGCCTTGGCGTTGGAAGTCCTGTGCAAAGGCAAAAGAGAGTTTTAATTCTGGTTAAGTTAGCCTGCTGCGTGAATGTAATTTAGGTGAAGAGTGCATATTGTGTGCATTCAGTCCTTGGGGTGCACTAGAAAGAAGGATGCACAGCTGTCTTCCTTCTTGGCAATTGTGAGATTGGGGGGGGAGGGTTGAGGGTTTCCCCCTTTTTAGCCAGCAGCCTGCTCTCCAAGATTTGAGGAAGACATCCATGGTTATGTTCCTCACCCAGCTTGGAGCCAGCAGAGGCGCATTTTCAACCGTGGCTGTTTTGCATCACAACTTTGTAGTGTTGCACACAGGTTTTCCTGCACCCTCTGAGATCAAGCCCAACACATCATCATCATTTAACAACCCCATAATCCCTTGCGGAGTGGAGGCTGAATGGAGGTAGCAGAGTGTTTACTGGCCGGATGCCCTTCCTGTCGCCAAGGCAGAGTTTTGTTCAGCAGATATATTCTCAATTATACCCAGAGAAAGAAATATCTGCCTCTACCTAGGATCGAACTCACAGCCTCCTGAGCTCCGCCTCTAGGCCACTGCACCACTCTTATCAAACCCAACATATCTCCGTGGGGAAAGTCCATTTGGTTCCCCCTGCAAATCTCCAGCTTTCAGATGTGAATCCATTTTTCCATAAGTTGGAAAAATTAGATCTTCCCTTCTGCAGGAAGCAAGTTAGTCCCAAAGGTGCTTTTTTCAAAAGTCAGCTGGACTTTGGTTTTCCTTGAAGATTTTTCCTTGAAAATTTGTTTTTCTTTGAGGAATTGAAGAAGCTTCTTGGATGAGAGTCTTCAAGGAAAAACAAAAAGTCCATTTGCCTTTTGAAAAAAACATCTTTGGGACAACTGTTGCCTGGATCAGGGATCGCCAAACTTTTGGACCTCAGGGACCACCAAACTCATAATTTTAAATCCCGCGGACCAGAGACCCTGGGAAAATCCCCCAAAAAGTCTGCAGGAAAATTCCCCACCCCGTTTTCCTACCGATCGATCATTCTTTATTTGGGATCGCAGGATACCGTCTCCAGCTCCGTTCTCAGGGGAAGAGAGAGAGAGAGAGAGAGACTTTTGGCTTCATGCAAGGAAAGCAGCAGAAGCAGTAGAAGTCTTTCTTTCTCTCCCCCAAACTCCGCCAGAAATGAGTCTTTGTGAGACTTGTTGCGCTGGTGCAGCCTCTTGGAGCAGGAGGCCTTGCAGGGTCCCAAAGACTCATTTCTGGCAGAGTTTGGGGGAGAGAAAGAAAGACTTTTGCTGCTTTCCTTGCGTGCAGCCAAAAGCAGAAGAAGAAAGAAGCGGAAAGAAGCAGCCCGGTGGCCAAGCGAGACACGTGGGGCGAGTGGGGCAAGTTTCCCCCTCCACCCTTTCTCCCCTCCCCTCACTACCTCGTGCTGTTCGCAATGCAAGCGACGCAAGCCTTGTATTCCCGCGGGCCATGTGGGCGGCACAGGCTTGTGTTCCTGTGCAGCCTGGATTAATTGCTTTGGGGGTGACGTTTCTCTGCGGACCACCAAAATTTTCTTGCAAGACCACCAGTGGTCCCCGGCCCACTGGTTGGCGACCACTGGCCTGGATGACTGAGAACCTCCATAGACATCTGAGAAAGTTGTGTCTTTCAAGATACATTAAGGCATTTTCCCCAAAACGCTTGGAGATAAGCTGCATTTTAGCTCTGATCGTTATCAACCAGCCTTGTCTTCAATCTCCATGACCTAAAACATCTGGCATCCAGTTGTGGAAGGCTGGGCTAACTGCTTTGCTCACAGGGATATCTAGAGGCTGCTCAGTCCTCAAATCCTTGCATTTTGTGTGGTTCCCACATACACAAATCCACCTAAGCAGCGGACTTGTCGAGCACCTGGGAAAATAGCAAGGTAGACTTTCAAGCCAATTCGAATTGAGTCCAACCTTTCTCGTGTTAAGGGAGACATTCCTTGTGTGTCCAATCACACTTGGCCAATAAAGAATTCTATTCGTTTGCTAAGTGAGTTTTGCTCCATTTTATGACCTTCCTGGTCACAGTTGTGAAGTGAATTGCTGCAGTCGTTCAAGTTCGTGACACGGTCGTTAAGTGAATCTGGCTTTCCCCACTGGCTTCGCTTGTCAGAAGGTCGCAAAGGGGATCATGTGACCCTGGGATGCTGCAACGGTCATAAATACGAACCAATTGCAAAACATCTGAATTTTGATCGCGTGACCACAGGGGACATGCTGAAGCGGTCGTAAGTGTGAAACATGGTCATGAAGTCACTTTTTTCAGTGCTGTTGTAACTTTGAACGGTCTCTAAATGAACTGTTGTAAGTGGAGGACATCCTGTATACTTTTCTTGCCCTCCCCCCTCCAGATTAGACTGTGTGACTGTTTCTTGAGTAATGTTCCTAAGATAGTCCTTGATTTACAACCACAATTCAGCCCAAAATCTTCAGGCAGTTGTGAAGTGAGTTTCGCCCCATTTTATGGCCTTTTCCCTCCCCACCATTGTTAGCAAATAAATGCAGTCGTTAAGCGAATCTGGCTTCTTTCCCCCATTGACTTTGCTTGTCGGGAGCTGGCTGGGAAGGTTTACAGGTGGTGGTCACATGACCACAGGACAATGCAGCCGTCATAAATGTGAAGCACCTGAATTCTGATCACCTGAC